AACAAAAAAAAAGTTAACACTGGGATACATTACCTGAACAATTATATCCATTCAGGAGAGTATCAACAAGATCTTTGGTTGTTTCCTCATAAATTTGCTCATTAGTAGAATCCTCCCCAAAGACACGTTCAAAGACAAATTTCTGCTCCTTGTGTTGTCTCTTATTTAAATCTCTGGTCCTCTGTCGCACTCCCCGGAAGAAAAACTCTTCATCTTCCTCTTTTGGGTCAAAGACCATCATATGGTCATCAACTAGTTTTACGATACATCTGAAATTAGTTAAGCATTATTTGAAATAACGAAAAATGCCTCTCCTCCGTTTTGAACGGCAAAAAATTTAAAGAATTTAATCTTCTTTAATTCTAAAAAAAGTACATTACTTTCTCCACCCCATAGCCATAAATCCACTAACCTTGCATTGCAGTCAAGCTCTTTTGCATTTTGTGGTCGCACACGAACCACCACCTTCAGATTGGCTTTTGAGGCATTTCCAAACTGCACTTCACTATTCCACTGTTTAATGAGGGCCTTTTTGCGCAAGGAGGTGTTGTTGCGTTTGGGTGACTTCATGGGAGAGTGCACCCGCTTCAGGACTCTTCTGTTTAGCGTCATCTTGCCTGAAAGCGTTAAAGGCTTTTGGTGACTGAAAGTAAGGGATTGTGCAACACTAGATATCCAAATTTGGTAAACATATAAAAAAGATCAAAGGTTATAATAGGACCATCGCTATCAGGCTAAATACCCAACTCAAGTGAAAAATCTTTAGAGGGGTCCCTCCTCCTAATTGCCATATTTTTAATGCAGTTACTTACACCATAAAGAAAGATATAATTTCCACTACAATATAGTGTGAATTGATCTCCTATACTTTAGGCAAAAATTATATAAACAAAAATACTCCTAATATAATTGACAACCTAACCTTTTCTGGTTATAAACCAAGCAAGTGCACATTTGTAATATTTATTATTCTACATTTATTATGCCCCATAAAAAGTAGGGAAGATTTGGCAGTATAGTTTCCCACAACCATGCAGTACATGGTAAAATTGGCTAGCAATGGACAGAATGACTGAAAATAAGGCACTTTTCCTTAATGGTATTTCTTTGCAAGTTGTTAAGAAAGTTGTGCAATACGTAATATTCTCATACACCTTCACAAGAAAATATAATACCACTATGATGATGGGAAAAAAAAAAAAAAAAAAAGCACTCCCTAATCCATGATATAATCAGAGTAGGCAAACAATGTCAGAAATAAAGAAAATAACTCGGAGTTAACAGTGATCAGGTTAGGAAAGCTTTTGGTTCAGACTGTGATATTTTTGGTTTTCCCAGGAATGTACAGAGTAATATTATGCGTGTTATGTGCTCACTTAGTGCCCTACGCATAAAACTTTGAGACTGAGAAGTGTTGATAGGTGAAAGTAATAATAGTGGATGTGCGAAAAAAGTTATATCTTAAATTTTGGGTTCACATGTGACTTCATATCTGGAAGGTACATCACTCTCACAAACAAATACCATAAAAAGTTTCCATTTAAATGGAATGAGCAGTCAAGTTTCTCATTGTACACCTTAATAGCTAACAACTTTCAAAAATTAATTCCCTGCATATTTCCCAAATCAAACCTGCCACCATCAAACACCTACAAACCTCAACATAACACAAAAATATATTTAAAATAATCATCTGATATGCTTTCAAACAGCAAAACTCTACAAACTATTATTCTCACAACTACAAAAAATGATTAAATTACACAGCTGTGATTAAAATGTCCGTTAACTGTATGGATAACTAAAGAATAGTCTGCAGAGTAACCCTAAGGTGAAATACTTAAAGATGAGTCCTTGCTGAGTCCAGAAAGAACAAAAACGAAACAATACCTGACTTCGGCTTCACCTGTAATTATGCCGCATAATGATAGGCTTATTAAAATTTCGAACTTTCTACTGCATTTACATCGCATTTCGTTCCTCGTAAATAATAATTTCATTCACAAGTCCAATTCCCTCTCCTTAATCCCGAATGAACACGAATCCGCAATATATAATCGAAATTATTACGAGGAACAAAGGAGCAACTTTGAACTCGGCATTTTCGTCCGGTTGAAGTTCCCACCATTAATTTTTAAAAACTTCTCTCTTAAACTTTTGCTTATAGAGTGCGGCATTTCTCCACTGTGATTTGGGATTCTATTATTTCATTAGAAAATAAATTAGTTGTTCTTTTAAAAGTTTGACTGGCACTTGCTTTGTTGACATTCCCTGTGAGTTTATATGATTTCTCCTTCTTCATCCCCCAATTCTTCCATCCCTTCACTTCTCCCGACATCTAATGACATGGACCTACTCACCTTAATCAAAAAATAACCACTCGCTCGGCACAAAATCTAATCAAAAGCGTACATCGTCCTTTTTTCCTCGCCTCACCCAAAGCTTGCACACACGTTTGAATCTCACGGCGAAATGGCGTCCTCGGCCTTTTAAATCGCGT